AGCTCATAAGGACATTGACTGTGCTATCATGCTCAGTGCTCAGTGCATGCTCACTCACGAATGCACTTAAAATGCTTAAATTTTAGAGCTCTGTGGTTATTTCCTTTCTTACATCAAAGAAAAAATTGTTCATTTATTAAAATCAATAAATAAGTGGACCATTGTCAGTATTTGACAAAATATTAATTTAGTCAACTAAATTATTACTTACTTTACACCTGCGGCAGGAAAGGGTGAGAAGAAGGCAGTCCCCGAATCAGACTGGCGCCACTTGTGAATGAGCTGTATACTGCAGCAAAGCACAGTATAATGCAAACAAGTTAGATGCCATACGGAATTAAATTTAAGACCAATTTTACAATAACCAAAGTTGAAGAAAAGAAAAATGCCAAATGAGAAAAAAAAACGTGAACTGACATCAAAGCTGCTAACATTACTTAGTGTTTAGGGATTTTTGCCTAAAAGTTGATTTAATAATCTGAAAGATTGCAGATGCATAGTGTATCTTTCAATGTGAGTAAACTTTCCGCGGATGACATTTCCGATGTGAAACTGCCAATTTATGTCCATAAATTCTCTTAAAGGTCGCAGAAAAAAACACTGAAGTTAACTGTTAGTTAACTTAACCTGCCTGAGAAATAATCACATTTCAAGTTTTCTTCAGTAATAAAGTCATCAGGCGATAGTTGTCTAACGTTAGCTAACCATAATCAGATATTGTCTGAATTAAAACGGCAACCAAAGCAACATTTTGACAGCACAGTTTAACGTTACTTACCATGTCCGTGTCCCCCGAGAGAGCTGCTGATTCCCACTGCAAGCACTCTGCTGTCTGTGAGAATAACGGTCAGCGACGGTTAAGAATTTTTAAAACAGGCGCGTTCGATGTCCGAATCCACAGTTAGTCCGCTGTTTGACAGTGCACCATCTGGAGGCGGACCGGCATAATATCTAAAGTGTAAATTCTCTTGGCAGGGACTTAGAAGTAGGCAATACGCACAATTCCTTGGTTACAGTGAATTTATTAACTAACTAAGGTGATATAAAATTGCGGTTAAATACAACAAAGAAAGAAGCAATGGCTAAACAATGAGAAGGGGCTGGAAATTAATAGAATAGTATGACATTTCTTTATCATCATTTCTAAAGGAATTGTGTGAGAAAGTATTGTGAACAAGCATTGGTTACACATAAAATGAAGGAGTGTCCTTAACCTTGCTGAAAATTAAAACACTGCAAAAGTAACTTATTTAGATTCTTTTCATCAATAAAATTGACAACAGATAGCAACAACATGGTAACATAACTACTCAAATAGAGGCAAACATAATCACGTAACTAAAAGATTATTTAATTAAACTGGTAATGCTTTGAGTCTTTGGAGACTGCAGTCTTTGTTTACATAAAGTTCAGGGCTGTCCTTGGTGTCCTGGATTTTGTCACACCCAGGCGTGACCAGGAGTATCCCTTTGATGAGAGGTAATTTAACACAGAGCAAGACCAGTTGCCATGGTTACATGTGTGGGGCAGTTTAGGGTTTCCTGCTCCTTTCTTTTAGAAGAGTTCTGTTAGGCTGTTTGTAATCTCTGGTTAGTTTCATTGTCATTTTAACAATTCAGGCACCGAGAGGCTTATCTCGGCTGTTGCCAAAGTTGGCCAGTTTTACGATCAACTACCCAGAGACAGCATTTAGGGAGAGAAACCTTTCACCTTTTCCTTTGGGTCTCTTCAGCCATCTGTTGAAAGTTGATATCTTTACCCCCTAATTTCTCTCTCCCAGGGAGAGAAGAGGAATTTGGAGTAGTCCAAATTTATTTAATATAAAATGCACAAATCCACACTGTTGGTCCACTACACTCATTAGCTCCTCAATGACATTATAACCTATTATCGGTCTCTGCACTATGTCTCTGCGCACTAGTACTGGAACTAGTATCTCATCAGACCTTGTTGTTTTAGCTCTTGGGTCACAGAGACTAAGACTGACCACAATCCAGCCCTGAAAAGGTATTTCTGAGCCGTTGGCAGCTCTTAGGTCCAGCAGTTCATCATCACTTAACAAATCACTTATGGGATTGATTTTTGCATCAGGTAAATTCCGGGACTTCCATGCCTCCCTCATGATGGCCACTTGTGCTCCTGTATCCCATCAGGGCTTGAGTCTTCACGCTGTTCATTTTGCACCAGACAAGACACTTTTCTGGATAGCCCTTTCTTAGACCACTCTCAGATAAACAGTTTGAAGAGTGAAGGAGCTGCTGTTTCTTTTTGTGCTTTTGAGACATTGTGATGGAAACTGAATAAATAAGTGATACTGCCGTAAGACAAATATTTGCCCAAAGTCTCCAAAATTTTCCATCACTAAAGACATGTCCAAAAATCTTGTGTATTTAGAAGTGAACAGTCTGACACAACAAGACTCAGTGAGACACCAGACTACAAAGCTGTACAAAAACTAAACAACACTTATCTCTGTATGAGAAGCACTGAAGCATGTCAGAGCTTTGAAAACACATTGCATGATGGCCAATTAACAATGTAAAACATTTCATCAATAAAAATGTATTTTGATGGGACAAATGTGGTGGGACAAATTATCATGACTCACAGCAACGCCTGCAAGAAGATGACCTTAAAACTTTGTTTTAAAAAACTGTATCATACAATATTTAGTTTCAGTTTTTAAGAAGTATTTATAGTAAAAAAAATCTTTGCTAAATTAACAATATTGTTGACATTTACGTCCATATAAACTCTATCATAAAAAAATAAATAATGATTTCTCTAGCTAGTCTGGTCACTTGAGGAGACACAATGTTTACACCTTCAACTGATTTAAATCAAATTTAAAATTATTTAACAATATGCAAATAAATCTATGTGTGCGTGTGTGTGTGTTTGTGTGTGAAAGAGAGAGAGAGAGAGAGAGAGTGATTAAAAGTCACAGTTCATTAAACACACACATGTGTTTACTGTTATTCTATATTACATTATTTATTTAACTGTATGAATTGAATTGTTCTGTTTCCTTGAAGTTTTGGCAATACTGTTCTTGTTAGGAATGTGGTTTTTGTTCATGTTTTCCTGTTTAAGACTGTTTGGTTCTGCGTTCCTCTGTGTAGGCTTGTTATTTTATTAATTTGCATGTTTTAGCTAATATCTGTCTTGTCTTCTTAGTTCTGTGTTTTAGTTTTTTGCCTCAGTTCTTAGTCCAGTGCTTATCTTGGTTTTGTAGCTTAGTTTATTCCTATGATTTATCTGCATGATTTTTACCTGTTCGAGTCCTATGTCTCTATGTTTTAGTGTAGTCCTGTCTCCTGTTTGGTCCTGGGTCCGTTCCCTGCTGTGATTTGCGGTCTTTCCATGTTTTATGTTTTACTTTGGTACATCTGTCCTGGTGTGTTCCCGTGTGCTTTACTTCCTGTTTTACTTTGTAGTATTCAGTTCTCATGAGTCCTTGTCTAGCTTTGTTTTCTTTTGTTGATTACCTGATGTGTTTAAGCTGTGCTTCCCTCCCTGCTCGTTTGCCTGTGTATAAGCCCTCAGTTTTCTATGGTCTTTGTCTGGTCATTGTTGTCTAATGTTGAGCCTTCTGCCTTTCTTTGGAATTTGCAGGCATCTGTGAGTCAGCCTGAGTATCTCTGTTTTGTTTGAGAATAAATCTTTTGTTTAATTGCATCCTCTGCCTGTGTCTGCATTTGGGTCCACACCTCAGCCTGCACTCAGCTTACCCTTGACAGTTCTAATAACATTCATGCCAATAAAGCATTTTAATTGAATTGAATGAGTGACAGGACAGAAGATCTCACATCACTTCAGCCTTAATCAACCATGTTCTCTGTAGCTCTGATACTGATCTCATATCAGCTTTTGAGGACATGTGTTCCAACTAAAACCTTCGGCACATGCAGCAACAATAAAACTCTGCTTTACAGTTAACCTTTGCCAGGCTGAATTGGAGGCCTTCAGGACAGAATCCTGTCAGAAACATGTTGATAAAGGAGATCAGAGGAGAGAAACTACACTGAGAAGGTAGAAACAGGTTTTCAGTTGTTGCTGTCACTGTATGTCTGTTTCTGTCTAAGTACATTGAGATTAGTAAAAAAATCTGAGTGTATGTACAAATGCTAAACTGACGAGGCTGAGGATAGACAGAGGTCAGAGAAGTGGCCTGAGGAAAGAAGCTTTTTCTGAGTCTCTCTACTTGTGGAGATATTTTGGATGAGTTACTGTCAATGTTAAATTCTTATACAAGTAGTGGCTGTCTTTCTTCAGAAATACTGTTTTATGTAAATACTTTCACTCAGTAGAGTATTAAGAGTAGCAGCAGTAAGAACAGATATTGAAATTATTTCATAACAGTCTTATTGTGTATTATTGTATTGTAGCCAACCATCCAGTTGTTGTCAAAGTTTAAAACTTACTTTCTCTGCTGCTGTCAGCTCTCATTTTAATGTCAGATCGATGTAACTCTCCTCTACCACACTCTCTTGTCCCACATTTAAATGTAATGCTCCGTACTTGTATAGCGCCTTTCTAGTCTTTTCGACCACTCAAAGCGCTTTTACACTACATCTGCATTCACCAGTCACACACATTCATACACTGAGCCTAAGTGCACACTCATTCATACACTGGCGGAACAGCCGGCAGGGGCAAATCGGGGTTCAGTATCTTGCCCAAGGGGATTGAACCGCCAACCTTCCAATTAACAGCCAACTCGCTCTACCTCCTGAGCCACAGCCGCCCCCTAGTCTACTATTCAAATACATGCTTCTGGCGTTTATACTGATACAAATAAAAACATTTCAGACAAACATCAGAATTGGATTGGAGCTTAATTGGAGGGTTGACTATCTGACATTAATTCCCCAGTTTTCACAAAATATTTCCACTAACGCTGTCTCCTCCCTGTGAGGAGGAGTCAATGCAAAACTCAGATGTCTTCCACCTCTACTTATCTTACTGCAGAGAGGATGACAGAGAACAGTGGACACACAGTTTAACATGATGGACTATAGGACAGGACTGCTGCTTTTAACTGTCTGCTGGGCAGGTGAAGATCTTCACTGATCTTGAGTTAAATCTGTCTTCCAAAATGTGCCATCTTACAGCAAGTGACTATGTTCTTGTTTCTTAACAGGTGTTGATGGTCAGACTCTGACAGAATCTGAACCAGTAGTTAAAAGGCCTGAAGAATCCCACAGATTGACCTGTACAGCCTCTGGATTCACATTCAGCAACCACGGGATGAGCTGGGTCAGACAGGCACCTGGAAAAGGACTGGAGTGGATTGCTTTTATCTATGGTGATGCTGGCGGCAAATACTACTCTCAGTCAGTTCAAGGCCGGTTTACCATCTCCAGAGACAACAGCAGACAGCAGCTGTATCTGCAGATGAACAGTCTGAAGACTGAAGATTCTGCTGTTTATTATTGTGCTCGATAGTCACAGTGACTGGAGTTGGTGGAGCAGCTGTACAAAATCCTACAGATCTCATCTTTCAGGCTGTTAGAGCCTAAGCATGACTTTTTTTTCTTTGTATTCATATTCTTATTCTTATTATTTCTTTTGTGTTTATTGTGTTACATTCTATATTTTACAATACACGTTTTGTGAATACAGAAGTACACTTATTGTAAGTCCTGAAGCAAGAGGAATATTTGCACTAAACCTTAAACACATAACAAAACACACGATAAAGAACCCTTGTTCATAAAACTGCCAAAGACAGCACAACAATCTGGTAGCTGAAGTCAAACATCTGCAGATACTATTTCGATACATCTAGACACAATGAGGTCTGTAAATTATGTGGAATCTAGAATGAATCAACAGGAGAGTGAAAAATAATGTTGCAGTTTCTTTTATAAAATCACTAGAGGGCAGTCAGTGTCAAGTTTCTCTCTCCTCTGTTTCTAAAAAGAGACACTCAGATCTGGTGTTCTCATTGATCTTAACTGACTGACACTTGAACCCTGGACTGAACTAAAGCTTAACACTCCTGCTTCTCATGAACACTGGATACTGTGATAGTTGATACTTTTCTACTCTAAACAAAAGACATGTATGAAATTGATTCAGCACATTTTGAATATTTAAATATGGCAGCATTTAACTTGATTAATTACTATTATCAATAAAATGTATTTACTTGAATATATTGTGTATGAATATAAATATTTTATATAGGAAGATTTTTCATATCTTATAACAACCCAAACAAAATTATAAACCACACAGCATGATATTTGATTAAGACTGTTTTTATTTTTGACACAATCAGACACAGATAAAGGTACAATGTGGTGATAATAACAAGAACTTACAGCTTTAGTTTTTATCTAACATAAAATATATTTTTCACAGAGGTTTCAGTTCCTGAGAAGCTGTTTTTATCTAGTGGCTCCTCATTGTCATCTGCAAACACTGAAACCATTAAAAGTATTTTATGCAAACCTACAAACAGCAGACTTCAGTTTCATTTCTTACTTTTCTTTCTTTAAGCCTTCTTCTTTTGCTATTTACATGATCATGACTGCTGTCACTGTTTCTTCTGTTTGCAGAAAATAAAGAAAGTAATTGACGCAATAACAATATTCTTCGCTGCCAGAACACAAGACTCAGCAAGAGGAAAGGACACAGACTCTGTGTTTACATCAATAATGCTTGGTGCTCAAACATAAAACTTGATAGACAATGTTCCCTCGTGTCATCTTTTTGTTAACATGTTGACCATATTATCAAAGCTATCTCGTCTCTGCTCTTTACATTCCCCCAGACGCAAATTCAAACAATTCACTTCAGGTGTATACATGTATATACAGTGTGTAAATAACTGTAATTTTAAAATTTAATTTTATTTATTTACTTTTTTAAATTTTAATCCACTCTAAATCTATATATTTGTATATACTGTCAACAGCCTCTTCTATTGGCTCCAGTTAGACCAACATTGATGCTTCATGTGTTTGATTCTATGCAAACTCAGTGACCTTCCTTGTTACTCAGCTATAAAAACTTCCCATCAGGCTGTCAGTGGAGTTCACAGCACGTCACTTTCAACATAAACCATGTTTTCTGTAGCTCTGCTGCTGCTGTTGGCAGCTGGATGTGAGTCTCTCTGGATTTGTCAAAGTCAGCAGTTCTTCTTTTGCAGTATAACTTGATCATTTGTTATAAAACATGTTCTTTCTTTAACAGGTGTGAAGTGTGAACAGTTGACACAGCCAGCCTCTGTGACTGTGCAGCCAGGTCAACGTCTGACCATCACCTGTCAGGTCTCTTATTCTGTTAGTGGCTCTCGTACAGCTTGGATCAGACAGCCTGCAGGGAAAGGACTGGAGTGGATTGGAAGTGCACATGTTGGATACACCACACATTACAAAGATTCTCTAAAGAACAAGTTCAGTATTTCCTTAGACTCTTCCAGCAACAGAATGACTCTAAATGGACAGAATGTGCAGCCTGAAGACACTGCTGTGTATTACTGTGCCAGAGAGTCACAATGACACAAACCATCAGTAGACCTGAACAAAAACCCCTCAGTGCCTGAACACTTGTAACATGAAGCCACCAGAGGAGGAGCCCTCAGACCACTAATGACTTCAACACCAGCTCACTGTTACAGAGATAAACATTATGTAGCAGTAAAAAAGTAAAGTGATACTTTACAAGGTTAATGATACTACTACTACTACTAGAGCCCGACTGATATGGGTTTTGGGGGGCCGATGCCGATATTGAAGTGAAAAAGAGCCAATTTTTGAGGCGATGTTTAGATTTAGAGAATGATTTAGATAGTAGACCCCTTTACTGTATAAACTACACTTAGAACAGGTCGATATGGAAAGCTGGTATGTATGTGGGCTATAAAACCTTTTTCCTAAATGGAAATACTAAATAGATTACAGTCTCAAAAAGTGAACATGTAAACAATTGCACATCAATAAATATTTGTTGCTGGAATGTGCAACTTTTTCAGCCATCTGTAAACAGAGAGAGAATAAGCATGCGTACTTCACTTTACACATAATCTGCCATAATTCTAATGTAGCATATTCACATCTAGTTTATCCCTTTACCAGCACTCTTCTGACCAAAGCTACGACAAACCATTTCTCATCATCTGTCTAAATCATGCCATCTATGATACAGTGAGCTGCTGTTGAATGCATCTAATGCAACAAGACTCTCTACAACGAGGACCTGCAACTTTGAGATTTAATTTACTTAATAATCAGCAGATGAGTTTTATTGTGGAAGTGAAATTTAGTGCGTGTCAGATGTTCCTGCAATATAATATGAAAATGACTTTGTGGACAAATTAAGATGGGTAAAAAAAAAACATGTCACCATGTTTTGTGTGTGTGTGTGTGTGTGTGTGTGTGTGTGTGTGTCATGATGATTCAGTTGTATGTTTAAAGATGTTGTGGAACCTCTGATAAACTCTAAAGACAAAAATGTTTTGCTCTTTGACGAGGAGCAGTCGATGCAAAACTGATGTCTTCCATTTCTACATATGTGTTGCTGCAGAGTGAAGGACAGAAACTAAATCACTGACATACACACCGTAGGCTGGACAGAGACAAGTGGTTTCTACAGAATCAGAATCAGAAATACTTTATCGATCCCCGAATAGTAATAGAAAATAGAAAAATAGAAATAGGTGTTTGAAAATGTGTAAAGTAGCCTATACTACAAGCTGCGACAGAAGTGTAATGAATAAATACTGGTAATAGTACTGATAGAGTACTGATAATGTTGAGAGCTCGAAAGGTTTAAATTCTTCAAATTTGCAGTATTAGAACAGAATCAACCATGATAATGCACATTTCTCATACTGTTTATTAAGTGAGCAAGTAAGAAGTGTGTAATCACTCGTCACTCGCAGTCACTCATAGTCACATGTCTTCCTTTGTTCTGTTTTCCAGCCACTCATCTGTTTCCATGGTTCCTGTCATTTCGTTCATCTGTATCACCTGTGTTTAGTTAATTACCATCATCATCATCTGTTCCACCTGTGTTCTGTTAATCACTGTTCATCTGTGTTTAGTTCCTTCAGTTCAGTCAGTCTGTACCTTTTGGAGTTACTTTATTAGTAAAACATTTGAATTGGAACTTTGGACTCATCCTCCTCTTCTTCTTCTTCTGCCTGCACCACGCCATGACAGATAGAATTTAAAACAAAGTTTTATTTTCTGAAATAAGGCATACTGGCATAGTAACCCAAGTTAGGTAACTTTTGACCCAACTCCTGGGTTAAAAAGGGATCAACTAATTTCTGGGTTATTTCAACCCAGATATTGGGGTTGTTCTTCTGACCCAGAAGTTGTGTTATATTAACTACTATGTTGTTGTTTTTTAACCCAACATTTGGGTCAGGTATTTAACCCAGATGTTGGTTTGAAAAAGAATAATTCAATTTTCTGGGTTATTTTTGACCCAGGAGTTTTTGGTGTGTGGGTATTCATGACATCCATGGACTGAGGGGTTACGTGTTATTATTTTGTATTAATGTCTTCCAATGGGGTTTCTTTCCCCTGAAAATGGTTTGTCTATGAACATTTTGTGAGAAAATCAAAACTATAACATAATGAATAACATTTGTTACATAACATAACATGACATAAGGTGTTATGTTGTTATTTCTATTAAAATATAATGAATTGATAAACTCACCTTCACGTGAAGGGGACAGTGCTTAATAAACAACTTAAAAAATATGTTTAAATTACACAAATTACACTGAATCATGAAAGAGGGATTCTTGGTGGAATGACTCATGGACAGTAAACGTTAATTCTCCGTATTCACCACATTCAACAGTAACTGAGATCCAAGTCAAAAACTGAAACACCCTGAAGCATGCTGCATCAGGGCTTTGAAAACACACTCAATGGTGGCCAATTAATAATGAAACACATTTCATTAATACAAATGTATTTGTCAGTGTGTTGGGACAGTTTATCATGACTCACAGCAACACCTGCATTTATTAGAAGACAACTTTCCTTTAATTACAACATCAATTCAACTACAGTAAAAATGTTGCTTTAAAAAGTTTAGTGTGATACAATTCTCAATTTCTCTAAATTAACCATCTTCATGAGTTTTAAACATATTAAAAATCATAGCAGCACTATAAGTTAGCTAAATTAACCATTTAGATGGTGAGATCTAAGTCCATATAAGCACTTAAAAAAAACATGTTCTTTAAATAAGAAAACAATTTATCTTCCTGGTCTGGCCACTGTTTCACATTCAACAGATTCAAATTTAATGGGGTTTTTTTCAGCAATATGCAAATAAAAGTTACTCATAAGGAAGTGAAGTGTGTGTGTGTCAGTGAGAGGACAGAAGAGCTCACATCAGTTCAGCTTCAACATCAACATGTTCTCTGCAGCTCTGATACTGCTGCTGGCAGCTGGATCCTGTGAGGAGCTTTCAGTGGATTCACACTAATAAACACATTAGAAACACTGAATAGTCAGATGAATGATGGAGATAATGTTGATTTCTGTTTCCACAGGTGTGAACAGTATTGATCTCATCCAGCCAGACGCGATGGTTGTGCAGCCTGGACAGTCTTTGACCATCACCTGTCAGGTCTCTGGTTATTCTTTGACTGATAACAGCTATGCAACATGTTGGATCAGACAGTGTCAAGGAAAACCAATGGAATGGATTTTTCATCAGTGGGGAGGAGGTAGCCTAACTCAAAATGATGCTCTGAAGAACAAGTTCAGCTACAGCAGAGACACTTCTGCTGGAACAGTGACTATAAAAGGAAGTAATCTGCAGCCTGAAGACACAGCTGTGTATTACTGTGTACGTGAGCCCACAGTGACAAAAACCACCAACAGACCTGCACAAATACTCTGCAACACACATACGTCAACAAGATATGCGCTCTTCTATTGGCTCCAGTTAGACCAACATTGATGCTTCATGTGTTTGATTCTATGCAAACTCAGTGACCTTCCTTGTTAACCATGTTTGCTGTAGCTTAGCTTAGCATTAGTGCGGTGAAACTGTATCCATGTGTCTTAATAAGGACATCACTTGATATCATACATGTGATACAGAAATGTACATTTTGTTAATATTTATATAAAAAGCTTCCACGTGATTTGTAGATTGAACAGAACATTTTTTTATGAAAACTATTTTCCTATAAAAACAAAATCCACACAAAATTGTTCTTTGTCCAGTCTCTCATATGACTAATTGCCAGCATGTTACAGGTATTTGCACTGTGCAGAAGTTAATCTGTATGTAATGTAATTATAAAGCCCAGTTTGTAAAACCAGCAAGACCTCAGCAGTCCACTTACTACTAGGGGTGTGATGAGTCTTTAGTCCTGAATTATATGGAAAATTTAAGTATTAAACACTTTATTTCCTAAATTCTGATGATTCATAAATTCTTTTTGCACCAGTTTATGGTGATTTCTTTCTATTTATGTAAAGAGAAACACAAAATTCCAGTGGCAGGTTTTTTTTCAACATCTAAAACCTAAATAAAACAATTCAATTTTCAATTCAATTGAATTCAATTTTATTTATATAGCGCCAAATCACAACAACAGTTATCTCACAGCGCTTTTCATAAAAGAGCAGGTCTAGACCATACTCTATGATGCTATTTACAGAAGCCCAACAGTTCCCACCAAGAGCAAGCACTAGGCGACAGAGGCAAGGAAAAACTTCCTTTTAAGAGGCAGAAACCTCGAGCAGAACCATGGCTCAGGGTGGGCGGCTATCTGCCTCGACCAGTTGGGGGTGAAGGAGAGAGAGAGAGAGAGGGGAGGGATGGGGGGGGTAGGGCAGCCTACACAATATACACACAGAGGTACAGACAGTAAAAGTGATGTTGCTATAGACTAAATGAAAAATGGTACAGATATTTATAGTAGTGTTAACGGTAACAATCGTAATGTTAATGATTATAATAACAATAATAACAATAGGACTAGTAACAATAGTCGTTGCAGCAGAGGGTGTCGAGCAGGAACACGGGGGCAGCAGGTGACCCGCAGCCACAGATCCAGACTCCACAGCTCCAGAGCCAGAAAACCTGCAGGAAGTGATAGGAGGAGAGAGGAGAGGGACGAGAAAGCACAAGACTACCAGAAAGGGGAGAAGTTGTGTTAGTAACATGCAATAATGGGATGAGGTTGCATACAGAGGGAGAGAAAGTAGAGGAGAGAGGAGTCTAGGCCTATAGCAGCATAACTAAGGGATGGTTCAGGACTCACCTGAGCCAGCCCTAACTATAAGCTTTATCAAAGAGGAAAGTCTTAAGCCTACTTTTAATTGTGGAGATGGTGTCTGCCTCCTGAACCCAAACTGGGGACTGCATGTGAAACCCAAAGTAATTAAGTCTATGTCTATTTTCACTGCGTAAGAAAATTAATGTGTGGCTTGACAGCATTTGAAAATGTCATTTGAGTGAGTCTCACGAGACAGCTTTTTACCTGATGAGAAATATCGTCATAATTTAATCTTGCAAGATCTCGTGTATGAGATCTCGTCACACCCCTACTTATTACATTACTTTTATCCAAAGCAACTTAGAATTGCATATCGGTCGCATGCCTCTGGAGCAAATAGGGGTCTTGTGTCTTGATCAATGTCCATACTGCAACAAAGAGGCGATGACTTAAACAGTTTGATGGCCACCAACAGCCATGAGCACATGACCTCCTCTACCGCTCACTGGAACACTTCGAGGGTGTGAGTCTTTTGCTGTAGACACTGTAAAAATTTACCTGTTTGTCGGTTTTGTTTAGAAATAAATGGTCATAGTATGTTTGTCTACATGTGATACAGCAGTTCATCCTTCTCTTATAGCCAGTCAGTGCCCTTCTCTATGCAAAGTGAACTTCCTCACAGTCTGCTATAGACTTGATATCATGCTGTCAGTTGCAGCAGAAGAAGAGAAGCTCCCATCAGATCACCTTCAGCACCAACCATGTTCTGCTGTTGCTGCGCTGGATACACCACACGTTACAAAGACTTAGACTCTTCCAGCAACAGAGTGACTCTAAACGGACAGAATGTGCAGCCTGAAAACACTGCTGTGTATTACTGTGCCAGAGAGCCACAATAACAAAAACCATCATTTAAAGAAGATAAAACTGACAATTATCTGAATCATAACTACATTAGTAACTAAATCTGTTGTCTTTAGCCAACTTTATGGTGATGGTCAATAGTGAAACAAATAAAGCTATTAATATTAATATCATTTTAAATATTGGTTTAAGTTTATGTAGTATAAAAATAATTTTATAGTTTTAGATATGTAAACAGCTCCTAAAACATTACCTAAAACATAAGTTTTTTCTTTTAAAAGTTTAGATTTTTGTCATGATAATAGGTACTTTTGCGAAGAAACTATGACAAGCAACAATTTAAATGTGACTCCAAAATGATTTATTGTGCTGTATGGGATTTTTCTTGTGAATAATTAAGCACAATATTATCATAAAATCAAATTTTATGCAATTTGAATTCTAGACAAATTTAAAATTTAGATGTATGACTCAAATTAATTTGACTCAAGTCACAACTCTCTCAACAGGTGATGACCAAGTTCAATCCAGCTCTCTCCTCCCTGTGAGGAGGAGTCAATGCAAAACTCAGATGTCTTCCACCTCTACTTATCTGACTGCAGAGAGGATGACAGAGAACAGTGGACACACAGTTTAACATGATGGACTATAGGACAGGACTGCTGCTTTTAACTGTCTGCTGGGCAGGTGAAGATCTTCACTGATCTTGAGTTAAATCTGTCTTCCAAAAGGTGCCATCTTACAGCAAGTGACTATGTTCTTGTTTCTTAACAGGTGTTGATGGTCAGACTCTGACAGAATCTGAACCAGAGGTTAAAAGGCCTGGAGAATCCCACAGATTGACCTGTACAGCCTCTGGATTCACATTCAGCAGCTACAGCATGGGCTGGGTCAGACAGGCTCCTGGAAAAGGACTGGAGTGGGTTGCCAGGATTGATAGTGGTAGTGGCAGCGGCAAATACTACTCTCAGTCAGTTCAAGGCCGGTTTACCATCTCCAGGACAACAGCAGACAGCAGGTGTATCTGCAGATGAACAGTCTGAAGACTGAAGATTCTGCTGTTTATTATTGTGCTCGAGACTCACAGTGACTGGAGTTGGTTGAGCAGCTGTACAAAATCATACAGTTGATACTTTTCTACTCTAAACAAAAGACATGTATGAAATTGATTCAGCACATTTTGAATATTTAAATATGGCAGCATTTAACTTGATTAATTACTATTATCAATAAAATGTATTTACTTGAATATATTGTGTATGAATATAAATATTTTATATAGGAAGATTTTTCATATCTTATAACAACCCAAACAAAATTATAAACCACACAGCATGATATTTGATTAAGACTGTTTTTATTTTTGACACAATCAGACACAGATAAAGGTACAATGTGGTGATAATAACAAGAACTTACAGCTTTAGTTTTTATCTAACATTTTATATTCTCAGTTCCTGAGAAGCTGTTTTTATCTAGTGGCTCCTCTTTGTCATCTGCAAACACTGAAACCATTAAAAGTATTTTATGCAAACCTGCAAACAGCAGACTTCAGTTTCATTTCTTACTTTTCTTTCTTTAAGCCTTCTTCTTTTGCTATTTACATGATCATGACTGCTGTCACTGTTTCTTCTGTTTGCAGAAAATAAAGAAAGTAATTGAAGCAATAACAATATTCTTCGCTGCCAGAACACAAGACTCAGCAAGAGGAAAGGACACAGACTCTGTGTTTACATCAATAATGCTTGGTGCTCAAACATAAAACTTGATAGACAATGTTCCCTCGTGTCATCTTTTTGTTAACATGTTGACCATATTATCAAAGCTATCTCGTCTCTGCTCTTTACATTCCCCCAGACGCAAATTCAAACAATTCACTTCAGGTGTATACATGTATATACAGTGTGTAAATAACTGTAGATTTAATTTTATTTATTTACTTTTTTAAATTTTAATCCACTCTAAATCTATATATTTGTATATACTGTCAACAGCCTCTTCTATTGGCTCCAGTTAGACCAACATTGATGCTTCATATGTTTGATTCTATGCAAACTCAGTAACCTTCCTTGTTACTCAGCTATAAAAACTTCCCATCAGGCTGTCAGTGGAGTTCACAGCACGTCACTTTCAACATAAACCATGTTTTCTGTAGCTCTGCTGCTGCTGTTGGCAGCTGGATGTGAGTCTCTCTGGATTTGTCAAAGTCAGCAGTTCTTCTTTTGCAGTATAACTTGATCATTTGTTACAAAACATTTTCTTTTTTTAACAGGTGTGAAGTGTCAACAGTTGACACAGCCAGCCTCTGTGACTGTGCAGCCAGGTCAACGTCTGACCATCACCTGTCAGGTCTCTTATTCTGTTAGTGGCTATCGTACAGCTTGGATCAGACAGCCTGCAGGGAAAGGACTGGAGTGGATTGGAAGTGCACATGTTGGATGGACAACATCCTACAAAGATTCCCTAAAGAACAAGTTCAGTATCGACTTAGACTCTTCCAGCAACAGAATGACTCTAAACGGACAGAATGTGCAGCCTGAAGACACTGCTGTGTATTACTGTGCCAGAGAGCCACAATGACACAAACCATCAGGAGACCTGAACAAAAACCCCTCAGTGCCTGAACACTTGTAACATGAAGCCACCAGAGGAGGAGCCCTCAGACCACTAATGACTTCAACACCAGTTCACTGTTAAAAAGAGACACAGACATATTTAGCAATATTAAAGGGGGAAAAAAAGTCAAAGAAATATAACATATTAACAACAAATATCATAATATTAAATATACAGTGGAGACAATTTCCAAAAACATTCTTCTCTTGTCTGACTGTCATTACTACTAATTAATAATATAATTATTCTAATTATGTCAAAGGTGAAACGTGTGTGTCAGATTTTTATTCCTACTGGGGTATTCACTGACTCATCTACTTTGTTTATGTATCTGTCTGTTTTTAACCCACTGTCTCTCTCAGAGTGCTGCACTCCTCCTTTTCTGACAGATTTAGTTTTTAGGTATCAACACTGTATCTCCAAAATCTTCGACTGATGCCCTGAAAATGATTTGATTTATGGACGCTTTTCTTTTTAAAATGTAAATCCAGTTTCTCCCTGTGAGGAGGAGTCAATGCAAAACTCAGATGTCTTCCACCTCTACTTATCTGACTGCAGAGAGGATGACAGAGAACAGTGGACACACAGTTTAACATGATGGACTATAGGACAGGACTGCTGCTTTTAACTGTCTGCTGGGCAGGTGAAGATTTTCATCAATCTCAATTTGACATAATGGATTTTCATTTGTGCTACCAGCGTAAGGCTTGACATACATTTCTTCTTTGTCTTGACAGGTGTTGATGGTCAGACTCTGACACAATCGGATCCTGTGATTAAGAAGCCTGGAGAGTCTCACAGAATAACTTGTACAGCCTCTGAGTTAGACATTAGTGGCAACACCATGCATTGGGTCAGAAAGGCTCCTGGAAAAGGACTGGAGTGGATCGTTTATATCAGTAGTGCCAGTAGCAGCATACTTTACTCTCAATCAGTTCAAGGCAGGTTTACCGTCTCCAGAGACAACGGAAGAAAGCAGGTGTATCTGCAGATGAACAGTCTGAAGACTGAAGATTCTGCTGTTTATTATTGTGCTCGACAGCCACAGTGACTGGAGTTGGTTGAGCAGCTGTACAAAATCCTACAGTACTCATCTTTACCGCAATTATCTCACATGATTATTGTCTGTATTTCAAGTAGTCCAAGAATGTGAATGAACGCTCTGATGATGTTTGTTTGGTAAAATATTTATAAGCAGCGATATAAATGTAGAAATCATATTACCAAATAGGCATATCTTAATCAAATAACAGAGCTTCATTAAAATGACTCATCAGAGAAGCTGCACAGTAAACAGCACGTATGTAGTTCAAGGGTTTTGCTAATTGTCTAACTGAGTGCTGAGACATCTGACATCTTTTTAACCAGTGATATTTCAATATTGTTTTAAAGGAACATTTCCTGAAAAAAGGATTACTTGAAAACATGGTTTTAAGTGTATAAATGTTCAAATTTGTTACTAAATTTGCATGAAGTTTTTTCAGTAACATAATTACTCATAAAACCCATTCCTCAAAGATGGCCATCCCTAAACTAAACATTTCTTTAGTTTGCCTAGATTCTGCTTTCAAATATCAAAACCAACCACCTGAACAACTCTGTTAAGGATACAACTTCAGACATCACAGGCCAGAGAGCATCAACACTCATAAGGCATGTTTCCACAACAGTTTTTCCCAGCCACTGTCAGAATGAATGCAAAGTAATTAAGGCAGGAAGGAAATTCTGTCACACCCTGCAGACTGGTATTTAGTATTTAACTACTGTTTAACTATATTATGTATTTATTAATAGGTGTAGCTTAAAGTGTGTATTTATGTGTGTTCTTTTTGTATATAGGATGTATTTTCTTTTAATTGCCTTTCTTTGCTTGTGTTTTTGATGTAGCCTACCTGTCCAACACATTCTCACTCCCGACTCGTCACATATTGACGCTTGGTCAAGGCCCTTTTGCGTCATTTATTGACGTTTAATGCTCCGCGGTCAAGTCAGCAACAATAAATATGCAATGTCCGGTTAGACTTAAAAAAATAAAACGCGTTTCGAAACATCACCATTTTCTTTTTTTTTTCTTTTTTTTCTTTTTTTTTTAAACCTGTCCTCCCCAGCAGCCTGGTATAGAGTATAATGACCCGGATACCATATTGTGCCAGACAGGTTTTACTTTAACAAGAGAGTATTGATATACTCCTTTGTCTGTTTTATTATTTATTTAATTATGTCTTGATTTGTCACCGGGCCGGACAGGGGGGCAGACACAGGGATAGGGGGGCACAAACAGACAGCACAGAGAAAGGACAAGACCTGTAAGAGAAGGGGGAAAGGGGGGTGGAAGGTGGGGACAACAGGGAAAAGCAGAGGGAAACACCAATTGCAGAAAGCAACAAAACCTGCAATAGGGGGGCTTGGGGAGGAGAAAAACACAACAAACAAACACAAACAAAAACAAACAATAAAAATAATAATAATAGTAAAAGACAACCAGCCAAACAGCAGCAATGAACAGCTGACATATTAAGACAACTAAGAGAAAAATGAAAAGAAGAAACAGTCCAGCACACTAAATAAGCAACACAGCACGGCCACGACAGCTGGAATAATAACAATTAATTTAAATAAGTAACTGAAAGAAAAGCATCAGGAATAATTCTACCAGGGACAACCTAAATTTGTTTGTGTCTATGTGTGAGACTGTGTGTGTCTGTGTGCATGTGGGTGAATGTGTCTGTATATCTGTGTGTACATGTGTGTGTACATGTGTGTGCGCATAAGCCTGTTAAAGAATGTAGTTGTTAGTGAGAGTGGGACGCCACGACTGTGCCACACCTACCCCAGCAACAGGAAGGCAAGAACCCCAGTAGCCAATAGGGGTGGGAGAAAGAAAAAGAATAAATCAACCAAAAAAAATAACAAAGACTCCCAGATGCACCGCGATGCAAACGCAGAAGACCCCGACCCAAATGCCAGTTGACAATGTAATGCCGACGGAACGCAAAAAGCGTAACCCGCGGAAGAGCAGCGCCCGGACCGACCGCGGCGCGCACACAACATAGACCAGTGCTCCCCCAGCACCCCACCGCCGCGCAGGGAACAACCAAAATGCCGAAATGCCACGCAATCATCAACACCAATGCACAAGTGACGAGCCCAACGCGCACACTGCGCGAGCACGGCGACACCCAATGCCCAGCAGCCCCCCGCAAATCCCACGTGCGAGGTCAGGCAAACGAGAGAGAGCAAATGGAACAACACCACAGCGAAAGCCAGCGGAGAGAAACACCAGCAGCAAGTCCCAGCCCGGCAGCAAACGCGCCGCACATGTCACCGTGCACCCGCCAATAAAAGTCCGCCGTCCCCCCAACCGCCGGAAAAAAACTAAGGCCGCCGGCGCCAGCCGACATCCCCCATGCCCAGCACACACCCCGGCCGCCGTGCAACACCAGCCAAACCAGCATCAAACATCACCATTTTCAAACGTGAAAGTCGTGGAACGTTGCAGTGGGTTTAGGCACAAAAAGTACTTGGTTGGGTTTAAGCAACAAAACTACTTGGTTAAGGTTAGCAAAAGATCATGGTTTGGTATGTACCTCAGTTAACACGTAGGTTGTGTAGCAGACCTAAAAATTTTAGTTATGCATTTTAATAAATTTATGAGAATTGATACCCAATTATGAATTCATAATTGAAGATTCATAAAATCTAAATTTTTCCTCGTTAAGGGCACCAACGGAGTTGTTATAATCCTAGAGTCTCCGGACCTCTAGGTAGTTTTGAATAATTATACAATTATTACTAGTGATCAGTTAGTTAATAATCGCTCAATTATCTTAAATCAGTCAGTCAGTCTCATATCTAAAGGGTCAATTCTCTTGGCAGGAACTAGAAATAGGCAACACACACAGCTCTTGATTATATTACAGTGAATTTATTCTCTAACTAAGGTGATAAAAAGATGGTTGGATACAGGGAACATCAACATTTGCTGAACAATGAGCCTGGAGGTTCGATTGTGGGAAGCATTTGACTCATACGGCATAGAAGAGCTAATGAAAGTAAACTAATGCTATAATTTAGGAGTTAAAATGGACATCTGATCACAGAACGTGTGTTAAGTCTTACTGCTTGTTGACAGCCTGCTTTTGGCCTGTTGCACGGGTCCCACGCTAGCTGCCCGATCCTGGCTTTTTGCTAGGGATTCTCCGGGGTTCTCCGTGTCTGAAACGCCTCCTTCGGCCGTTTTCAGGTTTCCTTCGTTGTAGCTGGCGAGACCACGTGGCTTGGTTTGACCTCGGTGAAGTTGGCTTCGACGAAAAAGGCTTAAAATGGAACTTGGTCGTTCCTGAATTAGTCCAGTGTAACTTAACGGACTGATAACTTTAACAAACAAAAGAAATAAAGAAAATAAAACAAACTGAAGGCAGATCGATGTCGCGGCACTTCAGGTGTGTAGCTTCAACAAAAGGCCGGTCTCGCTGGCCGAGTCTGGGCGTTGCCTGGCGAGGCACGCCACGCGCGTGCCGAAGCGTCCAGAGGGCAGAGCAGAGCGGAAGAGAGCCAACAGCGAAGAGAAGCGCGCGAGAGGTCGCATGTCGCTCTTTTGTTGCCTGGGGCGTGGTTCCCCAGGGGGCGTCTCAGGTTTCCCGAGGGACTGCCTTTCTAAACTTAATGTTTAAAGGAAAGAAATCTATTTGCAAGTCTTATAATCAAACATTTTCCACAATCGAACCTCAATGGTGAAACGGTTGTACTAGGCATTTGGTAACAGGAAACAATTGTCACATTATTGGTCAGGATATTTATACATTTAACGGCATTTCCGATGAGGGCATGTAATACTTATTTCGTCCGCTTGGGGGAGCTCAGGTTACATGAGGAAAGCTTGGATTAAATCAAAGATCGTCTCTCCTTAGGAACTGGGAATATTGTTGATTCATCATTAAATTCAAGCTGGCGATTAAGAGTATAGTAAAACATTCCTT